TAATAAATATGCTGGAAAACCTGACTTTGCACATGCCAAAAATAAAAAATGGACCCATATCTTTCACCATGCACTAAATTCAAACTGAATCAAAGATCTGAATATTAAAACAGAAACATTAAATCTGCTAGAAGATTGAATAGGTAAAACTCTTGAACGCTTTGGTGTAGGCAAAGACTTTATAAATAAAATCCCAATCACACAGGAACTATCACAAAGAATCAACAACCACCATCTTATATTAAAAAGCTTTTTTCACAGTGAAAGAAACCACCAACAGAGTAAAGTGACAACCCACGATGTGGGAAAAAATGTTTACCAGTTTTTCCTCAGACAAAGGATTGTTTTTTCAGTACTGGGGATTGCATTCAGGACCCTGTGCTTACCAGGCAAGCACTTATTCTACTGCGCTATCTCCATGGCCCCAGGGGTTTGTTATGGCTTGGGTCTAGTTGTCCCCCCCAAAGCCTCATGGAGTCCTGGGGGTGGCTTCTAGAGTTTGTGATTAATTCATGATGCTGGGATTATGGGTGTGAGTGCTGCTAGGACTACCGGTGTGAGTGCTACACCCACCCTGGGGCAGACAGCCTGAACGCAATATAAGGGAGGGAGAGAGGCTTGCTTGCTATCTCTTCTGCTGCTCTGTCCCTGCTTCTACCTTTATGCTCCTGTTGTTTTTCTGTTTTCCACTGTCAATAACTGCTGCCCTCTGCCATATGCTGGCAAAGAGCACCAAGGCTCCAAACTGCCTTAGAGCCCGCTGAGTTATAGACTGAAACTTCCACAAACTGTGAGCTAAATAAACCTTTCCTTCCTTAATTTTGGGTGTCAGGTATTTTGTCTCAGCAATGAGAGAAAAGTAACCAAGACAGGATTATTATCGAGAATATATAAAGAACTCAAAAAAAAATCAGGCCTCCAAATTTAAACAATCAATTCAAAACTGGGCATCTGAGATGAATAACACACTTCTCAGATGAAGAAATGCAACAAGAAAATGTTCAACGTCACTGGTCATTCAAGAGATGAAAATTAAAACAATGCTGAGATTTCATCTCACCCCGGAAAGAATGGCTATTACCAAGAAATCAACCAACAACAAATGCTGGTAGAACTGTGGGGAAAAAGGAAATCCTTCCTTTCCCATGCTAATGGGAGCACAGACTGGTGCAACCACTGTGGAAATCAGTGTGGATGTTCCTCAAAAAACTGGGACTGTAGGTCCCATTTGATCCACTATTCCCCTTCTGGGTATCTTCTCAATAGAATTAAAAATGTCATACTCTAGCTATATAAGTGCTTATTTATACGTACCCATGTTTATAGCAGCACAATTTGTAATAACAAAATCTTGGAAACAACTGCAATACCCCCCATTGAAAAATGGATAAAAACACATGACATTTATATACGATGGATTAATATTTAGTCATAAAGAAGGATAAACTTTTATGGGTAAATGGAGGCAACTCAGAATAATATTTGTAAGTGATATAAATGTATAAACATCATTGCTTACTAGTGTGAAATATTGAGAGCTGGGGAGATAGCTCAGCAGTCTATGTGCCTGCCTGGCAAGCACAAGAACCCAAGTTTGATCCCCAGTACCACATGCTGTGCTGGCCACCAAAAACGGGTGTGATGGTATATGCCTCTAATCCCAGCACTGAGGAGGCTGAGACAGGACAATCACTATGAGTACAAGCTGGGTAGTGAGACCGTAGTACATTAATTAATTCAAAAAAGAAAAATTGAAAAAGTAAAGATTTAAAATGTACAATAGAGAAACTGGGATGGGGAATGGAGAAAAGAAAGGAAAAGAGATAGATAGATAGATAGATAGATAGATAGCAGATATAACTATATATATGTAAAACTGTCATATATGTCTGTATATATATATAATAGTTAAACTAGTTATACTATTAATTTCTCTCATTTCATTGAAAAGAAAGGTTTGTGCTGATATTGTTTGGACAATTAAACACCAATATCTTATATTAAAAAAAAAGAACTTCATCCAATAGACTTACAAATAACATATGATAATGGCAATAAAGATATGAGCTATAAGCACAACTGATAAACTGGCTAATTATAGGTATTAAGTGACAATTCCTAAATGATTTTCATCAGGATGACAGGCTGCGACACAATAATTCTTCAAGGTCGACAAGCCCCTTAATTCAGTTCTTGATTTTTTTTTAAATTTCATCTGTAACAGAAGCTGAACAGAAGATGCATTCTCTACAATCACAGACCCGTGCATGAGGTTTTTTTAGGGGATAAACGGCAGGGGGAAAGGCGGGACGCAGAAGAGTGGGGAAATAGGAGAAGCATGAGGTGAGAGAAAGAGGTGAACTTTCTAGAAGATACTGTAATAAGAACATCTTTGTGGGGGCTGGCCAGATAGCTCAGTGGACTAAAGTGCCTGCTTAGGCAGACCCAAGTTCAATCCTGGAGTGCTGTGCTGGCCCCTCCCCCAGGGATCCCTGAATCAGTGACTGAGACTGGGCGTGGTGGCATACACCTGTAATCCCAGAGCTTGGGAGGCTGAAAACAGGAGGATCACTGCAAGTCCCATCTGTGCAGTGAGACCATGTAGACCCTGTACCAAATACATTTTTTAAAAACATCTTTGCAGGGGCCGGCAAGATAGCTCAGTGGTCTACAGTGCCTGCTTAGGGAAGCTTAGGCAAGTGCAGGGACCACAATTTGATCCCTGACACCCACAGGCCATGCCAGCCCACCCCCAGGGTGGGCTGAGTTGGCCACAAAATTAATAAATAAATCTTTGTGCTAGAAATATAACAGATGGTCAATGAGAAATGCATTACTGAATTAAGGCTGGTAAACAAAATTTCTGTATTTTTCATACCTCCAGCATTGAATTTTTCCTCATGTGCAAGACTAGCCTTATCTCCACTCCCAGAGACTACATCTTTACAGCAATACAATGCTCTCAGACTGGAGAAAGAAAAGCAGCTTTGGGTTTTATGGAGAATGGGGGAGGAGGAAGGGGTGAGGGCAGCTGACACAGTAGAGGAGGCTAAGATAGGGTAGGAAGAAGGACAGAGGAGAGCAGAGCACCCAAGAGGCATGCATGGAAATGTCACAGTGGGACCCATGTACAATGAACATGGACTAATAGTTGTCATTTAAAATAAAAAGAATTGCCCTATTCTTCCCTCTCTAGTACATGAGTATTTCTGAGATATTTCTCAAACCCCAGAAATTTTTTTTTTTTAAGAATTCAAAGTAGTGATTGTCTCAGTTACTCTTCTCTCATTGCTGGGACAAATACCCAACACCCAAAATTAAGGAAGGAAAGGCTTATATAGCCCACAGTTAGTGGAGGTTTCAGTCCACATTCAGCTGGCTCCAGGGAAGAGTGGCACACGGCAGAGGGCAGCCGTTCATGGCAGCGGCAAAGAGCAGAGAGCTAAGGGAGTGACAGCAGCTCGGGCAGCTAGCCAGCCTCTCTCCCCTGCTTACATTGTACTGCAGAATATCTGCCCCAGTGAATTGACACCCACAATCCCAGGATTGGATCAAGAGTCAATCACAAACTCCTGAAGCTGCCCCATGACTGCATGAGGCTTTGTGGGGACAACTAGATATAAACTATACCAGTAACAGGAAAAAAAAAAAACAAAAAAAAAAACCAGCATTAGAAATGATACAAAATTTCACTGAAAAAAGTAATAGAAGGGCTGGCCAGATAGCTCAGTGGATTAAAGTGCCTGCCTAGGCAGATGCAGGGGCCAAGGGTTCGACTCCCAGTCTGCTGTGCCAGCCTTGCACCCGGGGCAGGCTGAGACAACAAATCAAACTGGGCATGATGGTGCACGTTTGTAATTCCAGCACTTGGGAGGCTGAGAAATAGGAAGAATCACTACAAGTCTTATCTGTGTAGGGAGACTCTGTAGACCCTGCACTAAATACATAAAAAATAAAAAAGGTAATAGGAATTCAAGCTGGCCAAATAGCCCAGCTAACTAAAGCACCTGCTTAAGCAGGCACAGTGGCTGTACCAGCCCTGTCCCCAGGGCACGCTGAGACTTCGACTGAGACTGGGCATGGTGGCGTACACCTGTAATTCCCAGCGCTTGAAGAGGCTTAAAACAGGAGGATCATGACAAGTCCAATCTATGTAGTGAGATCCTATAGACCCTATACTAAAATTAAAAAAAAAAAGTAATCGGAATTCAATAATGGTTGCTGTACTACACAATGCTATCTTCAAATTAGTTGTTCAGATTACCAGATATAAACATGCAAGATTCATTTAAAGAAAAAAACAAAATAATAACTAAGAAATTCAAAAGAGGAAAAAAAATAAGAGTAAAAAGAAAAAAAAATTAAGCATTAACTGTTCCTTTTAAAAGACCAGCAGAAATCAACAATATAATTATCCAAACTATTCTTCACATATACCTAAGTATATCTTTTTTTCTTCTTTCATTTGTCTTTTTCCTCATCCCAGTGTTTCCTTCCCGTTGAACAAATTCTTTCTCTTTCTCAGTATCTGTTGTATCTTTTAGATTTTAATTACTCTTTCAAGTTCTCACACTAGTGAAATGATACGATGTTTACACATGCAAATCTGATTTATTTCACTTATTAATATAGTCTCCAGCAGCATCCATTTACCTACAAAAGCCTCCAATTTATCTTCTTTATAGCCAAGTAATACTCCATTGGGTAAAAGTACCACATCTTTTTTTTTTTTTTTAATCCATTCCTCAGTTGATTGGCATTTGGGTTGTTTCCAAGATTTAGCTATGACAAATTGCACCGCTATAAACATGGGTACACATATATTGCTGTGGTATGATGATTTCAGTTCTTTTGGAAAAATACTTCGGAGGGGAAAAGCTGGCTTGAATGGGACCTCCAACCCTAGCTTGTCGAGGGATCTCCACACTAGGCATGTCTGTAAGATCACCCGGCATGTGGCCCTCAGTAACCTTGACTCATCGTCCTCTCTGCCTCCTTACCTTCTCTCTCTGGATTGCCTTCATTTTTTGAAGCTCAGCTTCTTCAGCTTCCTTCTTGATTCTTATATATTCTTCTCTTTTTAGCTAAATTGCATTGAGATTATAGAGGACAAAAAAACAGTTACCATTTTTATCTGAAATTCTGGAACACAAAATTATGATGAAAGGAAAATTACAGTATTGTTTGTTCCATCCATCCCTAAGATTGTAAGTTATTCCATTAAGCTACTTAGATCACATAGAATAGCCAGGCTACTGCCTTTGCCTATTGAATTTCTGTGTTTCTTTTTTCCCATATCTATGTGTGTGTTCACCCCCCTCCATCTGTGTGTGTGTGTGTGTGTGTGTGTGAATCTCTCTCTCTCTCTCTTTTTAAATGTATTTAGTACAAGTTCTACAGGGTCTCAATACACAGATTGGACTCATAGTGCTCCTCCTGTTTTCAGCCTCCCAAGCCCTGGGATTATAGATGCATACCACCAAGTCCAGTCTCATTCCGTTTCAATGTACCCCTGGGATATACTCTGGTTTCTCTTCAGATCGTATAAATCTTTCTCCTTTTCAATGCACCCCAGGGGTGGGGCTGGCACAGCAGGCCAAGGATCGAACCCTTGACCCCTGCATCTGCCTAAGCAGGTGCTTTAATCTGCTGAGCTATCTGGCTGGCCCTGAATCTTTCTTTCTTTCTTTCTCTCCTTATCCATGTGGGTGTTGGGGAGTGTATGCGTGTGCATGTGTACACATGCCTATGTGTGAGGGGAAAACGATGGTAAATTTTCCTGGTTACAAAATTCATAGTGCTCATCACAAAAATCACCAGGTACCTTAAATCTTTTTTGCATTATTTTCATGACTAGCATGAGGGCAAGCAAAGTCATATTCTTAGAACCAAAATATTCAAAGCAAAGAGACTGAAACTACATAAATACATTTTTAACTTAAACCAATGTGTGTGGTTAGAAGGGGGCTTAAAACCCTTAGTTGTAGGTGCTGATAAATATATGACTTGAATGAGGATTCTAGTTATTTCCCTCTTCCCTTCACAGTTCCTGGCTTCTCCAATTTTGAGAGCTGCTCCATCTGAAATTGGTTTAAAGATTTTATGCATTTGGTAAAGTTACTATATTATTTCATAGTTACTTAAAAGTGATGGTAGTCAAAATCCTTGCTAAAACTAAACTTAAAGAGGTGGATTCTGACCTTTTGCTGGTATTTAGATTGCATTAGTTGGAGCTGTTGCTTCTGCCTGACTTCAGACTCTGACTGGCTTCCACCTAACAAAAAAACAAAAAGAAAGCTATGAAAGTAAAACATGAATATTAAGCTGAAATATCAGCCATCAAGGTTTGTCACTTAAGCCAAAACAATAATCTGGGGTCTGAAATCATCACAGGTTAACAATCATGCAAGAACTGTCATTTCAGGCTAGATGTTTAGCTTGGTGGTCGAACACCTGCCCAGTATATGTAAGGCCTCAGGTTCAATCCCCTGTACCCCTTAAAAAAACCCATTTATCAATTCTCAGTGTTTCTGCAAGGTTGGTGTTTATATTAGAAAGATTCTTTTGATATAATTCTCTGGTACTGTGGCAGACTCACTGTCACACAGTATATATTAAAACAATTGTATTTGCTGTAGTTTTTATAATTGAACTGATAAAGACCTATAGAGGCTCTTTTTCTAAGTTCCAAAGATGTACAAGGCTCAAATAGGGCCCAACTATCACTCTTATGGAGGGCAGAAAACAAACAGTAAGAAATAGTGAAGCTTTTGTCTACTGTTACAAATACTTTCAGTACCATTTACAATTCTTCCATTATTTTAAGAGGTAGCAAAGTAGGAGAGGATTTGAAAAGGAAAAGAGAAAATCAGAAGTTTAAGTATTTGTAAATTTTGCTCAAAATTCATCATTTTAATACATTCTAGAACATTCTACTCACTAGTTGCCCCCCCCCATGCCCAGCTATATATCATAAAGTTAAAAATGAAAAACTTGTTCATTTTCTACTAAGGTTGCATGACTTAGCAGAAAATAGTTAGGAGAAATAGTAACCCACTGCTCCAAATTCCATGTAAGGTGCCTATACTCCTAATGGCAGATCTGCAAGTGATCGACTAAAAACTGGTTTTCAGAATCTTCACTAACAACTCCCTTCAACCTGTAAAAGGTATTAGATAATTAAAAGAAAGGTAGAAGCCTGAGGAAGTATCTTTCTGAGTTCCATCTCTTCTGTGTGTCCAAAAGGAACAAATCTCCACTTCAGTCTCAGCAAGAGAGGTTTAATAAAGATCACGTGAAGACCCTAGCTTGAATCCCTACTAGTATGAAAAATGCATACAAAAATCAGAGCTTAAAGGCAACAAAGCTGCTGTCAGATGTTCAAATAGGTCCTCAAAAAGAGGTGGCTACATTGAAAATGGACTGTGTTCCCAGGGCTTTTGGTAAGAAAAGATACACCAGTACTGCTTATGTGGACTTTGAGAGAGAATGCCAACCTCCAGCTATCTTAGAGGAACTCATTGTCTCATTAACTTTCTTGTTGCTGGGTGAAAATACCTGATGCTCACAGTTCGCTCTCACAGTATCTAGAAGTTTTAGCCCATATGTGGCTGGCTTCCAGGCAGGGCAGAAGAAGTCATCTCACTGCATGGCCATTAGGAAGCAAAGCAGCCATCAAGGGAAGAGGAGGAAGAAATATGTACACCCTTCCAGGCCACATCCACGGTGACTCACCTTTCCCCACAAGACTTTGCCTGCCAACATCACAACTAGATATAAATGCTTCAGTGGAGTAATCCAATGTCACATGCCCATGCTCCAGTCACCTCCCAAAGCCCTGCCTATGAGTGCATGAGGCTTTGAGGGGACATCTAGAATTAGCCATAACACTCATGTATGGGTACCCCCTCTGGAACAACAGGTCCCACACATAGTCTACCAAGAGCCAGTAGTGGCCCAAGCACTGCCAATGGAAGAGTCTAACATCTGTACCAGGAAAAGCGAGCAGGGGACAGAGGAAGGGACACTGAAGACCTCAGATAACCCCAGGAGGGAACATGAGCAGTGAACATGGCACACATGCAGCACTACTGCCTTATTTCTCCCTTGCCCTGACCCTGGAGGAGCTATAATCTAGAAACAAAAATCCAACCACATTTACCTCACTTGTTAGCTTTCTCCCTGAAATAGTGCTGCACTGGAGTAAGAGAGCCTTAGCCTCCTTTAGTAAGACTTCTGACCAGTACTTAGGACTGAAATTTATGGAAATGAGGCTATTCTTCCTCGAATTAGCTAGATAACTTCAGTATGTGAGAAAAAAAAAAAAGTCTAATATCTCACTTCATTAAAAGAACATGGGAGAGACTGGTCCCACACAACTGATTTGAGGGCACGATCTCATCGCATCCCTCCAGTCTGGTTTATTCAGCAAAAAAGTGACACTTGAGCTTAACCACTTCCATGAAATAGAGAAATACTTAGTTCACAAATGCTTGTGTTCAATTTGAGAAGAGAAGTGTTCACAAAATTTTGCTTCTGTTCATGATCTCTACATTTAGGTGACACACATAAATGTTCCCACCTTCCCCAGAATCATGGGACATACTATGTTAAGTTTGTGAACCAAGGTACCACAGTACTTCAGTATTCCCATAATACTATTATTTTTACTCAGCAAATGATTTCCAAATTAGCTCATTTTTACCTATGTCCAGCTGTGTGTGCAGGGTTCCCTAAGACTTTTAGGACAGTAAGAGGCTTCTGAATGAAGACATGCTTGTATTAACTACATCTATGGAAACTATGTCAAACTCTTAAGTTCTCAGCTGCTGATGGTGGAGAAAAAAGAAAGGAGATGAAAGATTCCCATTAGGTGCCATGCGCTCTGAATGATCCAAACAATGTAGAGTTGACCCATATAATTTATCAAATTGGCAGCACCCCCCCTCAGTGGCCCAAAGGTCTTTATAGAGTAAAACCCAGGTGACATTTATCTTCATACCCACCACTGGGTCCCCAGCTCACTCTCATTTTGCTTTTAGAATTGACTCCCTTTCTATTTTCTTCACATTAGCATTTAACTTCCATGATTAATATGCTGCGATAGCTTTCCCTCTCATCCTGACAGGTGCTATGACTGGGTATATACAGTGCCCCAGGTAAGCTTTCTTCAGAGATGATCCTCCAAGAGGCTCTAAATCAGCAACAGTGAACCTTGTAGAGCTTTCAGTGATACAAACAGCCTACTGAAGCACATCTACCATAGTAGCATACCACCACTGCTCTAAATTATTTGACAATTAAGCCATCACATTATTCCCACATAACTGTGACTTCATACATTTGCTTCTTGTAGGAAATAAGAGATGCCAATACACCTGCACACCTGCATGTTTCCATGCAATCTCTCCCAAGCAGCACAACCACTGGCCACCTCTAATATACAAAGACAGGCATATGCAGTTGCTTGTAGGATCTGATGGTGGTTCTGCCTCCCACATTTAGGCAACTGGTTTATTACTTACCCAGCCGTCTTGGCAAAAGATAAACTGGTTTAGCTCTATTCTGTTCCTTCCACTTCTCCAGGCTGGCCAGCTCTTGCTCAGCAACTAACAGGCAAGAAATATCAAGGATTAAAATCTGGAAAGAAAACAAGTCACTGTAAAGCATAAGAAATCATCAGAGGACAATTAACTACACGCTAGCATAAGCAGACAAGACGTCCAGGAAAAGACGGTACTATACCTTCCAGCCCTAACCTTTTGAAATCATCCTGTGCCCACCCTTCCTACGCTTTGCACAGAGGGTTCAAGGTTAAAGAAAAAAAAAACTGAATTCCTTATAAAATAAAAAAAGGGAGTAGCTTCTCCTCCTATTTAGGCATCCTAAAAACTCTACATCAAGTTAATTTTAAAAGTTTACTATAGAAGATGTGTGCACAACTACAATATTCCTGTCAATAGTAATACAACCATGCAATTGTGTATTTCCTGAGAATTCTGATGCTCATACTGACTTTATTTCAAATGTTCCCCAAATTCCCCTCAATAAGGAATGAGGGCTCTGCACTGCTGCCAGACACCGCTGCTCTGGTTTCTGACTTTTGGGACCACTAAGCAACCCTGGGAGGAACAGGGCTCTCTGACCAGATATTAATGCTTCACAGTGACAGAGGCACCAGGGAGACACGATCTCTGTTACCCAGAGCATGCTCTCATCTCCAGGTCTGGTCCGATTGTTCTAAATGGCTACTCATAAAATGTTTTAATTATGAAGGGGGATTCTGAAATATCTCAAAATCCAGACCACACAAATTTCTGGTGAGTATTTAAACCAAATGTTGGTAAGATGTCAGAACCTTTGGAGCTCTGTTTGTCAATTACTAGCAGTTTTAACAATCACTGCAGCGGCATGACTCTCATACTCTGAACTGACCCACTCTCTCACCAACGGGGCTATGTATCTGGTGCTGCCACCCTTCAGATGGTTGCTTTGCTGTCAGGCCCATAGGTTTATCATTAGTTACAAAATTAAATTTCCTGCTAATGATACAGTAAGATACAGCACAGTATTTCAGTACCACCACTGCAGCTTAACCTGAAGAAGTTTCACACCTTCCCTTGTGAACTAAATGAACCACAGCTCTCTCTGCAACTCTAAAAAATATTGCCATAACTTTAGATGGAAGCATTTATATATACTGCACTTCATTTAAACATGTATTATGCACACTAGGTATAAGGAGCACAAAATAGAGTAAGATATGGTCCCAGTTCTTAAGGAGATTATAATCTAGAGAAGAAAACTGAATTACACAAATAAAAATAGCAAAGGACCAACTGACAGTTTCAAAATGATGCCAGTCCAGATGCTATGGAAAAATTCTACAAGGAGAGATGAGAAAAAACAAAAAAGGTGCAAATTATTTCATGAGCTACTTTGTATAGCATTTCTCTGTTTTACAAGAATCCACAGTGTGTCTTTAATATTTCAGCAGAGCTGGCGAGATAGCTCAGTGGACTAAGCGCCTGCTAGTTTGATCCCCAATACCACATGCTGCATCAGCCTGCTCCCCAGCATGCTGAGCCAGCCACTGAGACTGGGTGTGGTGGTATATGCCTATAATCCCAGCACTGGGGAGACTGAACATACGAGTATCACTCCAAGTCTGAGAGATCCTGTGTACTGAGATCCTGTACCAAATTCATTCAATAATAAGTAAATAAATATCAGTCAGCCAAACATGAAGGAACGAGACTAGTCTATGGGTAATAAGTATAAACTTAGTTTAATCCAACAAAAATCCAAGACTTACAATTATTTCATGAGTTCTGTTATTAATGTGGAGAAACAAATTTATAGTGTCAACAATAGAATAATTTTTTATAATTTTAGTTTATTATGATGTCAGTGTAGTATAAAATGTTTGCATTTCTTGTAAGAAGTTGGTACATGTCTGTAACTCATTTAATTGCTTTGTTCATCCCTTTTCTCTTTTCTCTTCCATACCTCCCTCTCCACCTGTCTCTAGATTCCTTTTCTCTGTGTACATATTTGAAGTAAATGTCTATATTTCTTGTGCAGAGTTTACACATGTGCATAACACATCCTAGCTCCTTTTCTTCTACCTATTCCTTTCCTCCCTTTGTCTCTTGACACCTTTCTCTTTTGAGTATAATCTATCTCCCTACTGCTTATGATAAACTAAAATAATAATTATTGAAGTTTAAAAAGAAAGGACTTTGGCAACATCTGGGACATTTTTATCAATCACAAATGGAAGTACTTGAGGCGTAAACCAATTTTAGAGAAAGTGATAAGCATTTTGAATGTTGAACAAGAAAATATACATACTCCTTTGCATCTGGTGTCTCCGAGTTTCATTTGGTGCTATCAAGGTATATGCACCTGTGCTAGAATGAAGAGAAAAGTTCATTTTTATCTGAGAAATTACTAATGCACATAAATCAAGAGTCTTCTTACCAAAATATTATATGATCACCACTATCAAATAGGTGCCATAGAAGATAAGCTTCTTCAGATCTATTTCTTTTCTTTAGGACCTTTCAATCTAGCTGTCAATGTAAAGCAAAGGGACATGATCAAATATAAACATATAAAGCTTTGGGTGACATGAGAAGCTCTTGATAGAATTGCTTCTTCACTGGTTCTTGGGAGACCACCTTCTAAGACTTTAATGAACCTCTAGGTGGTTCTGGTGGGTAGACAATTTGCCCCGTTCTTCCCTGTAAGCCACCCTGGGAAAACAGGAAGCGCTCATGCATTCTTGGTTCTCACAAGCTGAAATATAGGCTATTTGCATTGCAGCTACAATACTTCCTCACGATGATCATCTGAGTATCCAACTGGCCAAAATCTTGTAATTTTTATAAACTTGGGTCCACTGAGTTCCTTATTCTCCCAAACATGCTACCAGTTAAGTATAGTATAGTTACAAAATTAAATTTCCTGCTAATGATACAGTAAGATACAGCACAGTATTTCAGTACCACCACTGCAGCTTAACCTGAAGAAGTTTCACACCTTCCCTTGTGAACTAAATGAACCACAGCTCTCTCTGCAACTCTAAAAATATTGCCATAACTTTAGATGGAAGCATTTATATATACTGCACTTCATTTAAACATAATCAGAAGCTCAAGGGCTGGCCAGATAGCTCAGCAGATTAAAGTGCCTGCTTAGGCAGACACAGGGACTGGGTTTGATCCCTGGCATGCTATGCAGGCCCCATCCCCAGGACACACTGAGACAGTAAATGAGACTGGGCATGGTGGCGCATGCCTGTAATCCCAGTGCTTGGGAGGCTGAAAACGGAGGATCACTGTGAGTCCAATCTGCATAGTAAGACCCTGTAGACCTTGTACTAAATACAAACAATAACAATAATAATAATAATAATAATAAGCTTTTGAGGACAGAAACTATGCTTCCCTGCTGCGTATTTCAGGTCTGTGGCCCAGTGCCTGGCACAAAGCAGCTATATCATGAAATGAGGGCTGAATAGAAATAAAATGCTAAGCATCCAGTCAGTGAGTTTGGATTAGAGCAGCTCTTTTTTGAGCTGATCCACCTGGTCCCACAAGAACATGAATACTCTGTAAAACAAAAATGTAGCACAGCAACAGATGATACCATCCATATAGATGCAATTTTAGGGAGAATGCCACGAATAAACACAACCAACTTATAACTGTAGGATTTTTTTAAAAAGAAAGAACACATTCCCAGACGTCTCTCCAATCTGCAATATACACATTTCAAAGGCATATTTACCAATACTGAACAATGGAGGCCAAGAGTGTTGATTAACAAAAGCCATTTATTCCCTAGCTCATTATTTTCCTAGCAATGAGCCTTCAGCCAGCTTCAGACTGGGCTTCAGTTTTCGACTTGTAAATGTGAGGTACGCATCCCCCTTTGCATGCAAATGGGGATTCTCCATGCCCAATTACCTCATGTATATCAGCAGCCCTTGCACGTGTGGCCTAGCATGCATACAACTTTATGAATACAAAATTAGGAGACAGACACTGTAAATTAATCCCTTATTCATTACATATTCTTTGTTCACCCTAAGACTTCATTTCTCAATTGCCAGTGATGTTAGGAGTTTGGGGGCTGTGACTCTGTGGCAGTACCTGGAAACCTGAATATTATGCAACTGGCAAGCCATTCCACAGAGCTGTAAAGCTGAAACATGAGAAACTGGATTTAAGTGCCACCCATAAAATTGCTGCTTGATCTTTAGCATCTGCTAGGGCTGTAGCACCGCAGAGCTGCTCACTGTACCAGGGATTTGCCTGTCATCCAGATCAGCACTCCTTCACCTTTCCCATGTATCATCAGGAGGGCAGACTTGTTAAAGGACAAGCTTCTGATTCAGTAGCTCTGGGTTTAAGTTCAATGACATGTATTTTTAACAAGTTCCCAAGTGATGCTATTTTTTGTTTTGTTTTGTACTGGAGATCAAACTCAGGCCCTTGCGCTTGCCAGGCAGTCACTTAGGCTGCTGAGCTATCTCCCCAGCCCAATGCTGACATTCTTGATGTGGCACCACACTTGAAGAATCACTGCTGAAGATAAGTCATGCTGCCTGATGAAGCCACGAGCCATGTGGTGGCTTGGTCTCCGATGTAACGTTGAGGAATGGGTGGGCCTCTAAGAGGCGCTGCGAGCTGTGGGAGCCCCATGCTCAAAGCAATTAATGCCTCCTTACAGGACTGGACTTACTGAGTGTATTACAAAGCAAAGCCCACCACATACTTGGTCTTTTGCACATGTCTGTTTCTTTTTTTTTCCTTTTGCACCATGTTATGATACAACCAGAGGGTCAATTTGAACTTTCTTGTCACTAGAATCATGAGCCAATAAAAACACTTTGTTTTAAAGTTATTGTCCAGCTTAAGCACCAGATTTGACAAGAAAAATAGATGATATATTAACCACTGTTAATCAGCTATTCTTGTTTTGAAGATCTGTAACATATGTATTGTTGTACATCACCCTGTTTCTGATTTTTATCCTTACTTTTGTTTTTAGTTTTCAAAATAAAATT